GAGGCTAAGGCAGGAGGATAGCTCAAGCCCAGGAGTTTGAAGTTGCTGTGAGCTATGATGATGCCACTGCACTCTAGCCCTGGCGACAGAGCAAGACTCTGTCCATCAATGTAATACACATCACACTAATAAAACCATAGAACATCTTGATATAAGAAAGGCATTTTACAAAATCCAATATCCTTTCATTAAAAGAAACTCTTAGAAAACTAAAAATAGAAGGAAAAGTCCTCAACATGATAAATGTTTCTTTATCGTTGTTGTTTAAACCCACAGCTAACATCATACTTGATGGTAAAGGCTGAAAGCTTTCCTCATAAGATCAGGAACAAGGCAAGGATGACTACTTAAAACTGCTGCTACTGAACACTGTATAGTTGCCAGAGCAATTAGAATAAAAAGAAACAAAGGGCATGCAAATTGGAAGAGAAGAGGTAAAAGTATCTCAGATTACATGGTTCTATATACATAAAATCCCAAAGAATCCACAGGAAAGCTACTAGAGCCAACAAAGAAATTCAGCAAAGTTGAAGGGTACAAGATCAACACACAAAAATCAGTTGTTTCTAAGCAGCAGCAATAAATAATCCAAAATGGAAATTAAGAAAGCAATTCCACTATAATAGCATCTAAAAGAATAAAGTACTTGGGAATAAATCTAATCAAGGAGGTAAAAGACATGCTGAAAACTACAAAACATTGTTGAAGAAGACCTAAATAAATGAAAAGACATCCTGTGTTCATGAATACATAAACTCAACATTATTAAGCTACCACTACTACCAAAGCAATCTGTAGATTCCACACAATCCCTCTCAAAATTTCAACAGCCTTTTCCAAAGAAATGGAAATTTATATGGAATTGCAAGGGGCCCTGAACAGTCAAAACAATACTGAAAAAGAAGAATGAAGTTGTAGGAATAAGACCTCCCAACTTCAAAACTTATTACAAAGCTATGGCAATTAAAACAGTGTGGTACTGAAATAAAGACAGACAAATAGACCAATGAGATAGAATAAAGAACACAGAAATTAAACCC